CAGGTAAACAATGCCTTCTTATAAGTAATATTACCATGATATTGAATAAAATATAATTGTAAAAATATTTTATAACAACAAATATTATATAACAATAATATTATAGTAACAATAATACTGTATTAATAATAATAATAATTCTTATTTTAATTAATAATAAATATTCTTCTGTGTGCTCATTAAAACATAAACCAATTATTTTTAACTATGCAACTTTACTCAGCAACAATATTTTTTTTAAATTAAAATTTTAATTATATATACATACAGTATGTGATATCCAAAAATAGAATTTAAATTGCACATACACTTTTTATATACAAGTTAATGAAAGCAGATAAACAATGCCTTTTTATAATAAATGAATAAAATATAATTTTATTATATTATTTTTTATAGTATAATATTATTAATAATTATTATTAATTCATAATACTAATGAATACTAATAGTATATATACTATATATACTGAATATTGTCTCAACGGCGCATGAGTCTATATTCCTCTGCGTTTGATTAACTGCAAACAGCAGATTGTTTTTGCCGCAACGTAAGAAGGGTGAAAGAAAACGAGGTGTAAAAGAGCCAGGACTGAACTCTGCGCACACACTACAGGCCGAGTGATGTGTGTCCAATCATGTGATTAAATACGTGACTTGTTCGCTGCAAAAGCGAGCGCGACGGCATCCCATCATGCCTCGGTCCAGGCCCCGCCTCCTCCAGTCGGCTCTGATTAAAGCTCTCTTTGATTCTCGCTGCAGTCTGATTACTGGAGAGCCGGCCTGGATGATTCAATCACAATTAAAGTGCTCGGCTGGAGTGAGCGATGCTCGGGATGCTAATTTCGTCTTGGGCCCGTCCGCTCGCGTTCGTACGCCGGCAGTCAGAGTGTTTCGCTTAAGCGGTTTGCCGGAAAGGCCACCCGACTGATGAGGGCTGAAGTCGTTAAGTGAGCGGTTCTGCTAGCGGTCACTCGCTTGATGGGATATTCAGGCATTTCTAGAGGAAGACCTACTGCTGAGACTCATGGGAAACACGATTATAAGATAGCTAACAGTATTTTGGCTCAGAATAGATACAGAACAAAATTTAATTGCGTATTTTTTACCCAAAACACTTTGTAAATGATATAATCCGCAATAATGTGCTTCCAAAAGTGAAAATGATTCCAAAAAATGATTTTTGAGGCATGGTATAACCTGTTTTTTATAGCACAATTTACATCAATATTTATAATCAACATTAATTTGTACATATTAATAAGAAATTATTAAATTTACTAAATACTATTAAAATGATGCTCAAAAATATAATAAAAATAATAATACAAATAAAACTGTTATAAAATGTAAAAAATGCTAATAATATAAATGCAAACATGCAGGTAAATATTGCTAGATTTATATTTTATATATATATACTGTATATATATGAATAAATAATAATATACCATAGTATTACCATGTTTTTACCGCATGATGTACATGATAAAATATTATAATGTATACATACGAATCAATATTTATACATATAAGAAATTAATAAAATACTCAAAATATAATTAAAATTATAATTATATATTAATATAGAATTGCTAATGACGGTAAACTATAAACATTTTATTATAATTTTTTATATAAAATAAATATTTAATATAAATAATATACAGATAAATAATAATATTATTAGCATTAGTATTACTGTTTTCACCACATGATTTACCATTTTTATTAGATATATGTCATGATAATACCATGACATTCTTTGCAGTAAGTACCATGGCATATAAATGTGGTAATACTATGGTGTACAGGAAAATACTGTGGCATTACCATGTTTTTTTCCCTTATGATGCCAAGAAAACATGATATTCTTTGGAGAAAACATGGTATTCTTTGAAATGCCTTGGAGTACCAGGGTATGTAAAAATGGTAATGTTTAATACCACAATATCAAAGTACTACAGTATTTAGATGATTTCATACATGGTACCATGGTAATACTGTGTTTTTGGCTACATCCCATGTTAATACCATGATAATCTTGGAAATACCTTGGAGATACTTTATGGTAGTATTTCCAAGAAACGTCCACAATAACATGGTAGTACCATTTTCGTAAGAACACCATAAAGTACCTTGAGGTACCATGTAAAAGCCTTACAAAATGTATATAAACATGGTAATCATTCAGTACCCAATATATTTTTGTTGTATTTCAGGACTTACCCGAGCATCCGTCACTTTGAACTCTCTGAGGATGTACTGCGGCATGTTGTACTCCGCCATGGGATCCACCACAAAGTATTGATATCTAGCGGAGCGCTCTGCTGGCCAGTACTGGTGACACTTTTCCTGTGAAAACACACGAAAACATCATTAAATGACATGATCTGGAAGCTGAAAGCCATTGGATTTAAATAAGAGGGACACTCACTCGTCCCATCTCCCTCAGTTTGGTCAGCATTACCACAATGGTGGAGTTGTTCTCCCACAACATCCTCCAGAAGTCTTCAGTGGTCTCCGCTAATGGGCCTTGAGTGGCTATATAAGCCCTCTGTTGTCTACAGCAAAGAGAAAATGAGTCCCTGTGAATTAAGGTGCTTAAATTGGCAAAATGAACAACTCCGGGTCGCTTTCTCGCTGTTGCAGTACCTGTATCCATCAATGAAGCTGGAGTTGATATAGTCGGACCCCTCCAGCCCTCTGATGGGCTGCAGGCACACTCGAGTGGTCTCATAGGGCATGATGTTGACCAGGCGGTTTTTAAATTTGTTGCATGGCAGATTGGCACTTATGAATCTGGACGTGTGGGCTTTGGAGTTCGCCAAACGCTGTGGGAAGAGAAAGACGATTGATAAATCCAAGCCAATCTCTAAAGCGCCAAACATTTACAGTTTACAGGTTCACTTCCAGAATAAACATGTCCTCATAATCTATTCACCCCTATGTCATCCAAGATGTTCATGTCTTTCTTTCTTTCTTCAGCTGAAAATAAATTGAGGAAAACATTCCAGGATTTTTCTTTACTTCAATGGCGGCCAACGGGTTGAAGGTCCAAATTGCAGATTCAAAGGGCTCTACATGATCCCAGCCGAGCCCAGTCGTATCTAGTGAAACAATCTGTAATTTTCTTAAAAAAATAAACATTTATATACTTTTTAACTACAAATACTCATCTTGCACTAGCTCGACCTCACGCATTATGTAATCATGCACGTGTGACGTAGGCGGAAGTACCGAACCCAGTCTTTGCAAAGCGAACATACAAAGAAAGTCAAACACGACGATTTTGAAGTTGGAGGAGAAAATAGCTGCGTTTCCATTACCCTTCAAATTGTGCAAATTAAAATTGCGAATAGAAAATACGCCTAATGGAAACACGTCATTTTCACAAAAACTCCTGTGTATTGAAAAGTTTTTACGCTCGTATGAGGCGTTTTTTTAGCCAATTTGAAAACTGCAATGGAAACAGTTTTTCGCATTTACAGGTCACCTGGTGTACGGAAAAATCACATGATCATTCTTTGATTTACTATAACCTCCAAGAAACACCTCATACTTGGCTGCTCTCAAGTTTAAGGGGCCATTAATGCTTGGATGGATGACCCCTTATTTACACTGCACACGTCTGCGACACGGCCACTCTAGTCAATGCTTGTGTTTATACCAGCTGCGCCGCGGCACGTAAGCATCCCAGAAGCAGCTCTCTGTGCTGCTTTTCTAAAGATACACGCATGCGTCTCCTCCAATTAAAAATAATGGTAGTGCGGTGGCTGCGATATATGTAAACCTACCAACATCCATCGCCATGACTTATCGCGAGAGGAAAAAATGACATTTTAGTCGCATAACATTGGTTAATGGAAATGCCATCATTTCGCAAGTATTTTTATCGACATTTATAAAATATCGCAAAAGTTTTGCGCAAATCTGTAATGGAAACGCACCTAGTGAGATGGAGTTTTTTTCCCTACCCTACCTTTTTGAACCGAAGTACAAAGACGAAGAACTAACCGCGCGTGACCACTATGTGGAGAAAAATCCAGGAATGTTTTCCTCAAAAACCTTAATTCCTTAATTTCTTTTCGACTGAAGAAAGAAAGACATGAATATCTTGGATGACATGGGGGTGAGTAAATAATCAAGAAATTTTTATTCTGGAAGTGAACTAATCTTTTAAATAGAGTTTACTTTGGATATTTAGGCTTGAAGGGCATTACTTGCTGCATGGGAATCTCAGACAATCGTTTAACCGTTCTGACCCTTTATTTTTGGTGTAATGCCTCTATTTTTTCTCAGTCTCACACTGTTTATAAATGGGCGAGACTGGGTGACCCAGTTTATGTGCGCTCGCAGGAAACCTGTCAATGCTTGTTGCTGTTATAATTACCCAAACCCCATTTTTTGTCCATCAGGTGGCATGAAACCCTGCTCTGAAACAATTGGAAAGTCGTGCAACTTTGGCGAAATGGGTCACTGTCGCTTTTAGGAAGCCGCTTTGTATTCATACTCTGACTGGACACCACCGTTTTGTGCGTGCACATACACCTCGTACTTTCATGTCATGATCCAAATTAGAGCTTGTAACCATCAATTAACATCAACCGAGCTACAGTACGTGTAATTCTTCTCCATTTTCTAGGTCAGTTGTCTGGAAACATTGTCTCCTTTTAACTGGACGAGCCTGGCACATCTAGAAACTGTGCCGCACTTTCTCTCTTCTGTTCCGCCAGGTAATGCCTTCGCCCGGGTATAAATCCATTCAGTTCCCGCTCCAGGCCTAGTCTTTTTTTCTCTTTCGTTCAGAAGCAGCCACTGGCTGTTTGTCTTTCCTTTGAGTCTTTGAGTAGCTTTCAAAGAGGGACCTGGAAGGGCATGGGGCATTCCGGTGGGAAGCGCCAGCAATGAACCGAGCTGTTGGAAATAATAAGCACGCGCACACACACTTTGGCTGGTTTAGCGGGCCGGGGTAGAGTTTTGTCACATGGTTAGCACTGTAGGCACCTTATTAGCACTAGCACTGTCATTGTGTTGGGAACGTTTCTATCCCCCATGCTAACCATGTAAATATGACTAATAAAAGTCATAAATTATGTGTTAGTTTATAATTTCTGATTATATAACAGAAGCTCTAAATGGTCAAAATAACATTTTCTGTTTTTTTTTTTTCCAGTTAGCTCTTTAGCTAACTAGTTAACTGACTAGTTTTGCATACTGCTGATTTACAAACCGAGCACACCACTAATTGATTAGTCTGCCATCTTATCATACCTCTAGCTGCTTAGCTTGAAAGCTTAGCACGTTGCTATTTGATTTTCTGCCTAGAATTTATGCTTTGCTAGATTTTTCTTGAAGTAGATTTTTCTCTACTTCATATTTTTGCTCACAAGGAACTGTTTATGACCAATTTGCAAACCAATTTAGACATTTTGCTATCTAGTTTGATGATCTCTTTGAAGGAACTCATTCACTCATGAATTGGAAATTGCTAGCTGTGCTTTAGCAACACCAGACGCACAACCAAAGCCACTAGAAGGTAAGCCTGCAACCTTTAGCCAAAAAAGTGTAATGGCTAATGCTAACGGAAAGGAGACCAGAGGGCAATTTTTTTTGAATGGATGTCAATGGAGGAGAGGCTTCTCTACCCTGAGTAAACAGCTTTTTAGAGGAAACGGCTTATCATTTAAAGGCACAATATGTAAGATTTTTTTATTAAACTATCCAAAAACCACTAGAACAGTTTTATATATTTTGTTGACTTGTGTACTTTATCCCAAAATGTTTTGAAGAATGTTTAAATCCAGAGAAATAAGCAATTTTAAAGGGGTCATATGATGCGATTTCAATTTTTCCTTTCTCTTTGGAGTGTTACAAGCTCTTGGTGC